GAATAGAAAAAAGAATAAGGGCAGGAAAAAAGAAAAAGAAAGAAAGAAGCAAGAGAAAAGAAAGAATATAATGAGGGTTAGGGTTAGGATGTCACTGTTGTTCTTGGCCTGGGCCTGACAACAGCCCTCCAGTCAATGAAAGATAATTGAGCTGTAAGGTCTTATTTATAGATAATCTGCCATTCTGAGGGTTGTTCTTTTGCTAATAAGCTGAGAATGCTGGTTGTCAAAGTCACTGGGACTGCACTGCCCTTCATAACGCAGCCCTCTGTGCATGTTACAGGAGAAATCTGTTGCAGGAGCTCTGTGGAGTACAGAATCTGACATTTTCCTATTTGCAGACCGGCACTGGCTTTTCCAGAGTTCCCCTCAAAAACATGATTTTGTGCTCTGGATGTGAACAGGAGTATAAATAATTTATTTTTTGCAAATGTGCAAAATGCTGGGGGGCCCAGGGCCACGTTTTCTCTTTAAGTGACATGCTAGGGGAGAGGATGAAGAAGTGAATGAGGCCAAGATAAACACTGCCTTTATTGACAATATTCCTAACCCACCCCAATCCCAAAGAATCTGCACAACAACAAAGTAAAGTGATAAAGAAAACCAAATTCAATTCAAATTAAATAATCTCCAGCAGATACAATAATTTCAGTTACAGTCCTCTTACCATGATGCCCTACAAGTACTTAGGGCCAAAGACACAATTGGATTTACATTCAAATGTAATTACAGGAGTGTTAAATTATTCAGTACCATGAATATGATTGTTCCTTGTGTATTTATTTATCCCATTATATGCTGCAATTGGAGGGGCTTACCTTCGGGACTGGGGGGCTGCACCTAAGGTTTTGGGGGGAATCTCATGTGTTCCAGGTTTTCTAACTCTATACTTCTGAGTGTGGTCATTAATAATAATGTGTATGCAGTATCTTGTTGATAAAATGTCTCTCCCTTCTAATGGGAAAAGATCCAGCCTTTGTTCCTATAGAACAGCCCTTGGCCTTGTAGAGTCTTCTTCAAACCTGAGAGACTACCTTTGTCTTCCAGGAATGTCAAGACCACCTTTCTAGTTGGGAATTCTAAGTGGAGTAACCCTTATAATTCAAAGGATACCCATGCTTCTGATGGTGTGCTTCCTCTTTTTTCATCCTCATTCTTATCACTAAGATTTTCTACATTTTGGCAATGATGAGGATTAAGTAAAACAGCACTGAACTCCAGGGACCATTGGACAATTTTTACCAGGTTTCAGATACTGCTTTCAGTTGAAGAAAAATGTTTGCAGCCCATAATCCTGGGCTGAAATAGAAACAATGAAGTATCCTGGGCATCTGAGAGGAGCTCCTTCCATGGCTTACTGTTTGCTGAGCTCTTCAACCAGCAAATTATTCAGAAACTGTAGCAGAGCAAGAGGTTTCTTACTTCCAGGGAACCAGGAGGACAGGTAGTTTAAATGCAGCTCTTCTCCTCTGCAGTTTTGAAATCCATATGGCAGAAGTTACTCAGGTCCACCATCTCAAATGGACCATAGAATGTGGAGTAATGGAGGTTTATTATGGGATTGCTGTGGGTTGAAACTACTGATTTGGAAGAGGAAGGCTTTGCCCTATTTAGAAGCCACCTATTTTAACATCCAGATAAACATCTGGTGTGCTTTCATTTCACGTTGGCTGGCCTCTTCCTTCGTTCAAATAACAGCTTTGTGGGCAGAGTAAAGTGCCAGTCCCAGAGGTCTGATTATAGTTATTACCCAAAAAAGATTTCAGGAAAGTGGTACATATTGTCATATCCCATTGTCTCCAGCAAGGTTGGCGAAAACACACATGTGTAACAGATACTTGAAATAAATATTATCTGCTAGGATTTCTTCAAGGAAAATATTTGATATGGTAGTCCTACCATCCAATCTCTGAAAGATATTTACTTTGAATGAGCGAGAAAACAAAAATCCTCTTTTCTTTATTTGTTCTCCTCTTTTGAAAACAAGAGTAATATTTTTTCTGATATTTCTGCTCAGCTCTGTTGTCTCTGGAGTTCTTTAGACAAGTTCCTGGGACAAGGTCCAGAGAATTCAGTGGAACTATCTTCTGTGTAGGCCCATTGAGGATTGACAGGTATTTGCAAATCATCTTCTACAGCAGTGTTCTCCAGACTGATGCTCCTTCAGATCTTCAACTTCCAGAAGTTCTAGTCAGCATTAGGAGTTTAGTGCTGGCCCAGCTGGAAGGTACCTGGCTGGTGCTCCTATCCCTACCTGGAGATGGGCAGGAACATTGATTTCTGACTCACTTCATATAAGTTCCCCAAAAACCTATTTCAGGACCTCCCATCTTTTTGGCTTGGTGGATGCATCTGGGAAATTTAGAAACATATCTTGAGTTTTCATTCACCACAGGGAAAACTGGCATGTTGCTCTCCACATTTCCGTCTAGTTTCCTCAGAATTCTGTCTACTGCCCCAGCTTTACTGTGTCTTTTTTTCTGGGCAGGTGGACACACTTCTTTAAAAAAGCACTGAGTTTCAGCCACCCACCACTTTTGTTTAATTCTTCTGTGGCTCAGAAGAATTACAAAGAGTAAATACAGAGCCTGAGGTTGGTACTTTGCTTTGCAGCATGTTAGCTTTTCATATATTTTTTTAACGGAAAATCGAGTGGAACAGGATAGACACCAAGGGAGATATCACTGTGCACAGTGGGATCATAAAGACCTTCCTGGTTACCCAGAGGTCTATTTTATGTATGTGTAAAACCTAAATATTCCAACCATGGTGGAAGAACAGAATGTTATTATGGAGCTGGAACATTTGTACACACCTAGTTTAGTTTGTATGATCTTATTTCTCCAACTGAGATAAAAGTTAAATCAGGTCCATGCTTACTTTACTGCTCATACAAGACAATCCTGTAAGGTCTTTGCAGCTTATAACGCTTAGCATCAAGGAAGTGAGTCCACTCTGTCCTATTCTGGCTCAGACTTCCAGTTTTATTTATT